AAGATTTGCTATGTATGTAAGACTGAGAGATAGGAAATGAGTGATTCCTCTTGTAAAGTTCTCCCTATACACAATAAATTTCTTGTATTATGCTCACTGTTTTAAATATCGGCCGATAACCGATATTATCGGCCGAGTTATCGGATTTGGGAGCTCTCCGATAGGATAACTTGGATTTTTAATCGGTTATCGTTTTTGGCAAGTTATCGGGGAGTTATCGGCGTTATCGGTACTTATCGGCCGATAAGGTTTTTTTATCGGGATTATCGGCCGATAAGTAAGGCTATGCAATCGAATAGTTTCATCGTGCAGTCAAGATGCAAGTTTTGCTTTCTATAATTGGTTAGTGATTCTAAACATGATGATTTACATTTTGGTATGTTTATATTTCATTAAGCATGGTTAGATTACATTTTTTAGTTATTATATTATATATATACACCATCTAGTATATCACTCCGATAAATACTACTTATCCCCGATATATCCCCGATTTCCGCTATCCGATAAGAATTTTGGTCGTCCGATAAATTCCCGATAACCGATATTTAAAACCTTGATTATGCTTCATGGATGTAGGTCAAAGTTGATCAACTGAACTACATTAAATCTTGGTATTCTTTTCAAGGAGAGGGAGTAATTAAAATCAATGTTTAAAAGAGTGGAAGTGCAAAGCAAAACACTACTCTTTGATAAAGGGAGGCGTAAGCTTCAAAGCGTAAGGCATAAGCTTCATGAGTTTAAGTATTTTAATTTTAAATTTGTAAAAGTTATGAACATATAATATATGTTGGTGTAATAATTAACAAATATATACATTCATGTCCTAATTAATAAATAAGAATTAATTATGTGAAGTGTAAAAAAATCACAATAAACTAGGCTACATGCATAACATATATTTTATTTACATTCACATGGTCATATTGAAAATACATAGGCGCATTTTTAATGTTAGTCAAAAGAATCCTTTTATATCTTTCTATCATGTCTAAAGCATGTGCTTTAAAGAAAAGCGCTTTATGAAGTGCAAAGCGCATACTTCAATTATGCTTTAACGATGAGGCATTATGTTCAATGGATAAATAGTTTCACTCTGAAGTTTCAAAGTGTTTAGCCCTCAAAAAGTTTTGAGGCGAGTTCTAAGCGTGTTTCAAAAAGTTTTTTCAAACATTGATTAAAATCCCTGATACTTTTCTATAGGGCAACACAATCCTCTGTCATTCAAAAATAACATATTAGTTTAACCAAATATTCTAATTGTTGCTCCATACCCAAGATTGGATATCTAGACCCATTTGAGAGTTAATGGACATTGAAGCGAGGAAACCTTTCAGTTTAGCGAGCTAATTGTAATCCAAGTCACTAAAGAACTCAGAGTATGAAATGTTCTATTGCACCTCCTCTAATAAGTAGCAATTAAATTTGTGTGATTATTACTAGCACTAAAATCGATAGAAATCTTGGTGCACACCATCTATCTAACCAAAAGCTAACCTTTGATCCATCTAAAAATGAGACATACAAGCTAAATGAAATACAAGTTTCACTTTGACCAAACCTTTCCACAGAGAAGATAAAGAACTTATATTTCTCACCTTATCCCTCCACTAACCTGATTTTTGAAGCTAAGTGCAAAAAATGAGAGTTTTTATGGATATTAGTCACTTAAATGTTCGGTATTTTGATATTAGTCTCCCAAATCTTCATATTTTAATATTAGTCCATCAAATTATCTTAAAGTGATGATATTAGTCCTTCTGTTAGGTTTACCCTGCAAAACTCTAAATTATAGTTGGATTAGCACTAATCATGAGTGGATAATTACCTTATTACCCTTCCCTCTTTCTCATCTCCTCCATCTCATACACTAGCGGTCATCCTCTGTTGGTATTCTCACCTCTTCCTTCAAGACCACCACCATCATCTCTGTAACATCCCACTAATTTAGTCCCACATCAGTGAGAGAGTGGAAATTGAGGTGTTTATATAGTGAAAGCTAAATACTATAACATCGACTAGTAGATTTTAGCAGTGGTTTGAGCCAAACAGTGCGTTACACTCGGTGGGTTCCACGGCTTGCACGTGCCAACGGGTTTGCTAGCCCGGGACGTGACAAATAGTATCAGAGTAGTTGCCAGCTAGAAATGTGGAGTTAAATGCTATACAGGGTTAAGTGTTACACTGTGTAGATATGGTGGGAGCCACCTCTAGAGTCCTAGGAGTCTCTCTAGAGTCCACATCGTCTGACGGTAATACTGAGATTGCTAATTGTCATGTCGCGACGAGGACGTCGCCTTTGTAAGGTGTGGTAAATTATAAATATGACATCCTACTAATTTAGTCCCACATTGGTGGGAGAATGGAAAATTAAGGTGTTATACAGTGAAAGTTAAAGACTCAAGTGTAACATCAGCTAGTCAATTTTGATAGTGGTTTGAGCCAAACAGTGCGTTACACTCAGTGGATCCTACGATTTGCATGCGCCAACGAGCCTGTAGGCCCAGAGCGTGACAATCTCACCATCGCCATCTCCACCTCTGTCCATGTTCTCACTGCCTCCTCTATCTCCATTACAACTATCTCCATAATCGTTTGTATTCTTTGTACCACCTCCATCTTCTCCACCATATCCTCTGTCTCCATCACCTTCTGTGCTGGTATTCTCACCTCCTCCACCATTACCATTACCATAATCACCACTTCTGTTGGCCCTGTCATCACCTCACATTCTAAATCACCACCACCACCAATCTATTGTGCCCGGTCACCTTCCCCACCACTATATTAAAGCGGGGCCAATGTAGGATGGAGAGGGTAGAGAGGAGGTGGCGATAGGATCAAGGGCAAATAGGAGGGAGAGGAGGTTAGAATGGAGTGGGGAGAGGGTATAGCTGGCCATTTCACAAATTTTTTTTTGAAGAAAACAGAATATTTTCCATCCATTTTAACGCCAAATAGAGGAATTAATATCAACATATTAAGGTAATTTGGGGGCAGTATAAAAATATGAAGATTTGAGGGACAAATATCAAAGTACCTATGATTTAAGCGACTAATATAAAAAATCCCCAAAAAACCCTTACCTTATGGACACGACGGCGAAAGGCATCTAAGGACAATCAATGTTGGGAATAAACAAGCTTAGAGTTACCGAGCTTTAAATAGAAGTTAGGAACCAATTTTAATCCAAAAACGTAAACTACCCAAAAACGTAAACTACCCAAAAACGTAAGCTTTCTAGGTACTAGTCTCAACTCCTATTTAAATTAATCACTCTTTCTTATTTTATTCAATGTGAAACAATACTCACATATGAATAACATTAACATCCCCCTTCATTTGTAACTAGAATAGGCAACCATGAAGCGCCCACATGGGTATCAACAATCATAGTATAACATATGTGGATTTTCCACCATATGACTTCAGTAGACGTTTTGTCTGCACCATAGCCCTCCATTCCACTCCATGGCATGCCAGCTATCCGCAAATCTAAATTTGACCTTAGTCGACCTCTCGACAGCTTTGGACTTCATATAGGGCTTCATTTTTTTTAATAGGGTCGCAAATTTGGCTCTGTCTTTGATCGGTAACTTTGCTTTATTTGGGGAATAAATGAGCCCAAGCTAGAGTTAATGATGTTTAAGTAGACAATATGAGCTGATTTTAACCCAAAAGTTTAAGCTTTTTAAGTATTGGTCCAAAATCCTATCTAAATTCATCACTCTTTCTTATACTATTAAATGTGGGAGTATACTCACACATGAATACCTTAATAACCAGGAGATGCTTGTTGGTAGTAGAAGATCAGCTTGTCACAGCAAAAAGTTTTCTTGAGGTTGCGGAGCAGAAGTTGGTTTGAAGTGAGTGAGAGGTTGTTAGAGAAGAAGAGCTAGCGTTGGAGAAGAATAAGGGCTTGCAAGTGAAGCTGCGAAAGAGGTTCATGAGAGAGATTATTAGGGTTCGCGAGGGAGGAGATGCCGCGCAAATGTTCGGTGAGTGAGAGAGCTCAAAGGGGGATCGTTCGCTTGCGAAAGAGGTTCATGAGAGAGATTATTAGGGTTCGCGAGGGAGGAGATGCCACGCAAGTGTTCGGTGAGTGAGAGAGCTCAAAGGGGGATCGACTATGTTTAAAAATTAGGATTTTGGTTTTGATATTTATTTAAAAAAATGGGGATTTGAGTTTCAGTGGGCACCGAGGGCACTTTTTAAAACACTGTTGAAACTAAATATATATCAATTCAGCCCACAGTAGAGGATTGAGTACACTGTTTGGTATTGTAGTAAACTGCAAATATTATGGCGTTAGAACTGTGGCAATTGTCGTCATGGTAATGATGATTTTCATGCACATAGGGTAGTTCTTTTTAAACTAAAGTTACTTTGTTCTTTTTCCCCCATTTTCCTGTTACAATTATGATGTATGTAAAATTTCTGATACGCAGTGTTAGATCTCATCTATTAGCAGAAGCTATTGGTGAAAATGGTTGGAATATGGATTCAGACAACCAGAATTCAAGGATTGTTTGGTTTAAGTCTAATCATTCTGAATTTGGATATATTTTACCAACATTGTTCCAACTTCCAGTAGTACCCTCCTGTAATTGAGGGTGTCTACGACATATACAACTTGTTACCTGTCCTTTAGTCTAAACTTCTCTGCATAAGATGCTTACAGATAGAGAAATACCTTCTACTTTCCATCTGACACATAATGCAATTGATTGTGACTGTGCGGGCCCTCTTATTACTCCAACTGATGTATATATGCATTTGCATATCTTTGTGTGTGGCACGAATACGTACATGCATGGATTTGTGTGTTTGCGGGTTTCTCAACACTTCCAAAAATTAGTCGTTGAACAGTTTCAGCATCTTGCAGTATAAAGGTCCTTTGGCTTCTCTCATTTGACTTTGAATATTGTGTAGATTATAATAAGATTAGTTTATAATCTTAGTCTTTAGAAGTACTGATATGAGTGGTGTTTCTACCTCAGGAAAAGATAAATAAGCTCGCATCTTCAGCTCATATCTTTCATAAACTTCAAGATTCTAAGCATAAAGTATTGCCTAGAAAAAATAGCAAAAATCTTGTTGATAGCAAAAAGAATTCGGTGTATATGAAGAATCTGCCAAAGAGTCGGAAACTAAAACTTCTACGATCTTCGAAACAAACCTCCAAGGAGAAGATTGAGCCGGGAAAGGCTCTTCGAGTTCATCACATTCTGAATAATCCTACTAGAAGATCAACAAAGAAAGCAGGTGCTAAAACAAATACAGGAGGTAAGTCAGTAGATTCTTGTTGTGGATCAGAAGACCTAGTTGATTTGTCTGGTAAAAGTAACATGCATGCACATGCCAAAACCTGCTCATCTATAGAAAATACATGCAAAGGAGACAGTCTTCCAGCTGCTGATGATGTAGCTCAGGCGGAAAACTCCAGTGATATCAGTGCTTTTAGAGATATCATAAATAGGGCAGATGAAACTTCAGCAGAAAAAGAACAATTGCTTGAATCTCACAGTAATATCATGCCTTCCATATATACAAATCCCAGAAGCACAAGCTGTTCTGACCCCAAGAGAGACTTGTTTTCCATACCGGAGGACCATTGCCAGTCTGTTCAGGGTTATAATGAAGGGTGTCATTTTATTACTGGGAATAAGACTTTATTAGCCAGTGATCCACATGATGACCCAAGGAATCTGGAGCCTATTCATAGTGCGGGACTGAGTTCTCATTCTGACATTCAGAGTAATGAAATTTCCCCCAAGACATTAGATTCCCCGTCTCTTGCTTCAAGGTTTGATCCAACAGGTTCACTGAGCTTTATCAGAAATCTAAGTCCACCGAATACAACATCTTGTTCAATCACGAGAAAGGAGGAAACTAAGATGCAGATTCAACCTCCAATAGACCCCTTGACAACTTCCTATTGGCAGATTCTCCCACCCAAGGACTTCCGCTCTTCTGCGGGGTGTAAATTGGTACCAAAGCCAGTGCCAATCTCCAAGGACAAGTGTAATGTTGATGGTTTTGTTGGTTTACCTCTTAATTCACAGGGGGAATTTATCCATTCACAGTCCGCTGCAAGTTTTGATTTTGGTGAAATCAGTAAAAAGAAAAATGCTATACAAGGTTCAATCCGAGGCTATCCATTTCCTCATAATGCGGAATCTTGGACTAGTTTAGATCATGTGAGCAGAATGAAAGGGAAGTTTCCTAATGCAGCATTGAGTCAGAAGGTTCAACCAAGTTGGTATCAACGGCAATACAATCTTGCTGATGTGCGAAATTTTGATAATTTTGGAGTTCAAAGCAATAATGAGGCCGTAACTGATAGATATCCAAGCTTCCTTAATGACCACAATATCATGGAAGTATCTTGTCAAGGCTGCAGGGATGATATTCGCACACGGAATTATATTGACAGGGTAAATTTTCAAGCAGAAAGGACTATGGAGCATGTGTCTCAGCCTAATATTCAACAGACAATGCGATTGATGGGTACAAATGTAACGGTTACTGGAAATAACAAATGCCAAAGTTATGGTGATGGGAGAATATGGATCGACAAAGAAGTAGTAAGTGATCAGTTTGGAAGAGTTTCCCATCAACCAATGCAACAACAATGGGTTACACATTCATCATCTATGAAGCCAAAAAATAATTTAGTTCGTCCGTTAGATACTTCGTCAAACTTCTATAGTATGCCAGCTATTGCACCGAGATTGGGTGTTATGCATTTTAATTATCGACCACAATGGGTATCGAGAAATGACACTTCCTCAGTCATGGGAAACACTCTCTTTAGCCATCCACTTAACTCACAATCTTTGATGAACGACTCTTCGAAATCCTTACTGACTACTATCCCAGGGATCACATCGGTTAAAATGGGGCATCAGATTCCAGTGCTGGCATCCAATCATCCCAATTCTTATCAGCATATGCTTCTCAGTTCTACTCATTGCAAACATACCCAGGGCATTACATACAGTACAACATCAACATTTCGGCCTCCCATTTCCTATCATGAGACTTTTAGTCCTGTCCAGCCATCACCAGCTCAGTCTTCAATGAACCTTCCTCGGTGGTTATTAAATGCAAAACAGCAGAGGAAAAGCCAAAGACCTCCTTGTTCATGTTTTCCTGATCCACTTGCTTCTCACCACCGCAGCAGCATGTCTCGTGCCGATATATTTCCTCTCCCATCTCCACATCACACTTCAGCAATAAATTTTCCCATTTGTACTGGCACTACCTCTATAGCTGGTGGGTTATCCACTCCTTTTGTCCAATCTTCATTGGTTCCCCCCAGTATGACAAGCAGATCGAAGCCTGCGATTGATAACTCCTGTGGCAAGAATATGATCAGAGGAGGAACGAATTTTAATTTCACATATTTAAAATCTTTGGATGCGGCTGGAAAAACTAGGAAGAGGGCCGCAGCTAAAGATGATCGTTTCATGAAACCAGCAAAGAAACCTTTTTTCAGAATGCAAGACCAGATGGCTGCTTCAGCAAATCCCAGACAAGAAGAACAGATGCACGCTAATACAGTAAATGCTGAGGCCGTGACTGATTCCAACAATTCAGGGGCTGTTACTCAAAATGAAGGTTCGAGGACCCTGTCTTTGTGTGGCTCTTTAAAAGTTGATGGTGGGTTGAAATCTGGACCTGTCAAATTGACCGCTGGAGCAAAGCACGTACTGAAACCCAGTCAAGATCTGGATCAAGATATTTCTAGGTCAATTCATTCGACAATACCCTTTTCCACTGGGGATAATTCTGGTAAGGTTATAGATCCTCAGATGACAGCTACAGAAATTTACAGGTTTTAGCGGATCCCAATCTAAGAGACTGAAGTTTCTGACAGCTGACTGATTGTGTTGGCTCAAACTACAAGTTTAGCTGTTGTAAAATGCTTTGGCTTGGGTGGAAATGACTAATTGCTTATGCAACTTTTGCTTTGGATTTTGTATCTCTTTGTTCTTCCATCTATTGGCCGTTTCTTCAGCATCCATGAGGTAAGTATATAAATCTTCAGCCAATCGTCTGTATTGTGTTACTTGTTATGATGACAATATTAATTATGCATAATCTTATTTTGTTTCTACTTGATCTTTACTTGGTATGTTTGAGATATTAAATGCACTGCTGTTGTTTCGTAATCGCTTTGTATCTTTGTTTCGATTTCATCAAGGCTGAGCAAGTTTGCATCCTTGTATCTTGGCATCTGACAACATAGCAAGTAACGGCTTGTTCTTATATATGTTATTTGACGATTCTCGAGCATTAAGTAATTCCTTATTTCTGAAACCATCTCTTGTCATAGGGAGGTTTTCTGTGCATGAAACTCTTCAATCGATAGCACAATACTTGTTGCTTACATTCTGAAGTGGATAAACTTAATTAGCCTAAGTCTAATAGACCCAGTTGTTCAAGTGAGCTGAGTGGTTTCGTGCTCATTTTGCAATATCGTTTCTGTAAGTATCACATGATTTTAGGCATTAATTCTGAGAATTGAAGATATGTCCATCTCTGTTCAGTGATGGAATATTTGGGAAATGATGCACATATGGAAATTTAGTTCGGCAGTGAAAAACTACAGAAGTCAGAAAATGGTTGTAATATTTGATTTTTTTGAAATTTCATTAATGTATATTAAAAGAACAAATTGGACTTAAGAGAAGGATTTCTAAATAGCAAAAGATACAATAAACATAAATTATATTTTATGAAACATTGTTGTCTAGTATAGATGAATTTCCAGTGAGATATGTCTTTTCATGCACGAGTTGTGATCCTAGTCAATTATATTTTTGCAAGGCTATTCCGGGATTCATTATTATGGTCCACGGATTAGTTTCCAAGGGGAATGTATCAGATTATCGTTTTATAATACTAAATTCTGTTTAGATATGGTAGAATTAAGTTTGTGTGTGCTAACTTCAAAATTGTTAACTCAGACAGGCGATTTTAGTTATTTCTGTTAATTGATCTGACGTCAACTCATCTTTGGGAAAACTAAGATCATGATTGGTTGGAGCGTAGATGCAAGCTTGGGGATGAATATGATTGCCTACTATTTTTTCGCGTAAATACAAAAGATGTAGCAGAAAAGAACAAATTACAGTGATAAACAATAGTTAGCAAAAATACTAATCATAAAACCAGCTAACCAAAGACACACAAAATTTTATAGTGGTTCAGATAAAAAATATTGCATCCACTTTTCCTTCTCGCAAAGGGGCTTTCTCACTATGATACAGCTCATCTAAGGGCCTGTTCGTTTGTTTTCTAAAAACCAAGAAATGGAAATGGAAATGGTGAAAATCTCAAAACTCACAATTTCCTCCATTTCCATCCCTAAAACTCACCCACAACATCCAATAAAATATTATTTCCATCCAACAATTCATCCACATCATCTAATAAAATATGATTTTCATCTAACCACTCATCCATCACATCTAATAAAATATTATTTTCATCTAACAACTCATCCATCACATCTAATAAAATATTATTTTTATCCAAACATCACTCAACTCATCTCTTCTCATCATTTCAAATCACTCACATCATCCAATAAAATATTATAACAATTCACCTCATCTCATTAACATTTCATTTCTTCATTTTCATCCCAAAAAGTTATGAAAACACTTTTCTTAATCTTTCTTCACATCACCCAATAATACAATGACAACTCATCTCATCTCATTTCATTTCTTATTTTTAAGAATGAACCGAACAAAAGAAAACAAGAAACTACAGGAAATAGGTTTCTTATAATTCATTTCCTTATTTTTTTTCGCCAACCGAACACTCCAAAACTAGTTTTCTTAAAAAATCACAAACATCATCCAATAATAAGGTGACAACTAACATCATTTCAATTTCATTTATTTGATTTCCTTCTTTTTTAGCCAACCAAATACTCCAAAAACAATTCTTCATTTTAATAGTTTTCCATTTCTTTGATTTCCCTCTTTTTTTTAGGCAAACGAACAGGCCCTAAATCACAAACTCGATTCAGTAGACTTACAAAATTGCACCCTAGTTTCAACTCGTAACTAGTCGTCTAACCTAACTCTCATAATGTGTAACTCCTAGTCCTAACTAGTCCCAATACTCAATTCAACCAGCTTGAGTATGCTATAAAAGAAGTTCAATAATTGTGCAAACAATTCTTCGAATGATCTGAGCGAAGGTCGATGAAGAACGTGGATAAAGATGGACTCTAAGGGTAGCTTTCCTCACTATGAACTTATCGGATGATATTGTGCCCGACAAATGAGCAATTGACGAGACTTCAAGGGATTGAAAACCTCTTCTTGATCACCAAAAATAAACCCTAGGTTTCCTCTCTCTTTCTCTCTCATTTTTTAATTCTAACTAGGTTAGAAAACAATGCCTCAAAATGTAGGAGAGAATTAGGTCTTCTTATGCAACGGACGGTTGAGATTAAAAATTGAAAAATTCAAATCAGCCATCTAAGCATCGATGGTAGCTCTCTACCATTGATGATATCAAGTGACCATCCCCATCAACGATCTCGTCTCTGGACTTTTGCACGATCGATGATCTAAGGTAAACATCAATGGTCTCTTGGTCACAATTGATGGTCAATGTGAACCATCAATGGTCCACAAGCTGAAATCAGCTTTTGTGCTGTTCTCAATCCTTTTGTACTAGATCATCTCAAACATAGATTAGACTCAAATAACTCAAATAAGAGAGATTGTACAGACAACATCCTAACAATCTCTCCCTTTCGATAATAACTAACTTAAAATTTGAATTCTTGCAATTAACAAATGTTTGAAATATATAGACTAATAAGCATACATACACTTTCATGAAATAGGAAATGATATGCAATATTCCCCTACATTCATGTGTAAATGAAAATGTGATGAAAGGATAGATATTGTGAAGCTTGCCCTACAACCATGCATCGGGCTTTTTAAAAAAATATTTGAGAAACCAAAAAAACTCATGCATACAACAAAATTTCACTCAATTCTCCCCTTTCTGTTTTTATCAAAAGCTAAAAACACACTAATGGTCATACAGGATACAAGACAAAATCAGAGAAATATTGTTCGTAGAGTGCACGGGAGAGATATGCACACACGTTCACATGGAAATTTGTATTGAAGATAGCACCAAATCGAACCGTAGAACATATGAACAGGAGAAAGAACAACTATATGCATACACGCATAAATAAAAGATCATTGTAAATGCGTAGAACACAGAGTGAAGAATTTAAAATAGTTCACAAGATATAATTAGTTATAAAAATGTGATAAATGAGTTGATATAAAGACTTGAGCTAGCTCAACTTTTAAAAATAAAAGACCAAAGTGTTATTCTATCACCTTAGCTATATAATACTTACAAGGAAGAACGATATTATTTGACGAGCGATTTAAACCATCTCTTAATATATTGCATATTCAGTACATGATGGTTACTCATTGAGATACTCATAAACAATAATTGAGAGTGTGGGTATTTGAACATCTTTTAACATATACACTCGGGTTCTGTTAATTTTATAAGAGTGTGGATCTTTGATCATTTTTAGCAAATATACACTTTTATAGTTTGCTCATATTTTGTCGCAAATGCACTTAAGTACATAAAAAGTAAGTTAATGCATTAGTCAAGTCCAAAAAGCACAAAAACACATTATATAAAATGAAATATCTACGAACTAGATACATGAAATAAATATGAAATAAATGTGTGCAAATAGCATGTGAAGTGCCTCGTGAACCAATATGTCATGCAGTCAACATTTGATCATTGTGTATTATATACACACACACCAATGAATAGTATCGATCATTAGAAATTATCTCGCAAAAGCATATACATAAGCATGTCCAAAAAGAAGAAATAATTTTTCACTAGAGAAATCAAAAAACAAGAAAGAAAAAAATGAAAATAAAAACAAAACAGAAAAAGTAAAAGCAATAAAATCAAAATAATATGTGTACAATAAAAATGGTGCAAAGAAATATGTAAAAATACCAAACTAATCACATAAAAATATATTCAAATTAGAAAAAATAAAGAAGAAGAAAAATAAAAAGAAATGACCTTCTCCAAAGTGTGGTGCAAGTCTCATCCACTCCTAGTTAGCATCGGTATCCTCCTCCTGTGTCTCCATATCCTCATCATCTCCACTATCAGCTTCTTGAGTGGTGGATGGATGAGAAGCTCTTAGAAGCTATGATGGTCATGTGAAATAATCCGCATACATACACTGTCTTCCTAAGGAAGGATCCATCTGGCATAGAGCTCCAATAATAAATTAAAGAGAAGCATCCTAACAGGCATTCTGAGTCATCATATCTCTCTTGAGTGTGTTAACTCTACCACTCGGACTCTCTACTCTCTCACCAAGCGTAGCTACATGGTCCACTAATAGATGGGGACTCCGACTTCTTATCAATAACCTCTCGAGCAGCAGAGGCAACCATGCTCATTTAGGAACATATCAATGCGACAGGATCACATTTCTTTCCCTTGTTGGATTTGTGTGCTTGAAAGATCTATATGTAGATGATGAGGATTTTTGTGATGACTGGGTGACTTGCATTGTGAATAAATAATTGGGCGCCATGATTATTCACGATGTATTTCTTTTCTTTCAGAATAGGCTTTACATCCCATAGGCGTCTTTGCGCGAGCAACTCATTCTGGAGCTCAATAGAGGTGGCTTAGGTGGACATTAGGTCATGATAAAACGATCGTATTAGTGGAGGAGTAGAATTTTTTGTCCATGTTTGCATAGAGATATAGGCAGAGTTGTCACAAAGTGTTTGGTGTGCTAAACCGTGAAGTGGAAGTTACATAACACGGCCTTTACACACCTTTTCCTATCCCGGGCATTTACACACCTTCTCCTATCCCGAACGGTCTGTGGGAAGATATTTTGATGGAGTTTGTGCTCAACCTTCCTCGTACACAATGGGGTACAAACTCCATCTTTATAGTGGTGGATAGATTCTCGAAGATGGCTCACTAGTATATAAGAAGACTAGCAATGGGTCTAGCATTGCTCGTATCTTTTCCCATAAAATTTTTGTTTACATGGTGTGCCTAAT